AGTAAATATATACTTGCCACATTACTTCAAACACTGTCCATATATAACATCAGTATGTATATGAGGAAGGCTGGAAACAATTTCACCCATTTAGATGAAAGTCATTCATGTTGTGAGCCCAAGTTCTGTGTCCCAGTAAAACAATAAGATGAAACTGTAGTGCTGCTCTTTCTCAGACCCAGAGGAAATTCCTAATAGCGATCAATAGCTCTCCTCCCGATAGGATCCATAATCTATGTCCGCCATGCTAAACACCCATCAGCTCTACCAGCAAGATGCCACCATAACCCTATCACGATTCACTCTCTAGGCGAGCTTCCTCAGAGAGATGTGACAAGTACACATTACAGGGATCCACACCTGAAAAAAGAAATTTCGGGGAGGTGCCCTCTGAAATGATGGCAGATAGCACGTGAAGCAATAGCTCCTTTGCTATCTGCTGTTTTTTTTAGTGTTCTGACAGCTGCTGCCGTCAGAATTTAAAAAAACAAACAAACGCCATAGGAATGAATAGCTAGATTGCTGTTGCCTATTTCACTTTGCAATATCCAATAGCAAGCTGGCTATTGCACCCGCCCTCTGCTGCTTTCAATCAGCAGAAGAGGGCCTGATGGAAAACTTCAGGACAGCAGCAGGGGGCGGGCGCAAAGCTGGTCTGCGTTTGGCTATTGCGAAGTGAAATAGCCAATAGCAATCTAGCTATGCATTGCTGTGGTGTTTTTTGTTTCTCTGACTGACGGCGGCCGGCGGGCCCGATGTCAGAAAAAAAAAAACCAGATCGCAGGGAAAGGTTTACTCTGCTAGATCGAGGAGAGTAAACCCTTTCAGGAGAAAATGTTTCTCTCCCGTGCGGCCGGAAGCCGCTATCTAATAGCGGGAGACTCCCGGAGTGTCCCAGAGAGTTGGGATGTCTGACATTATTTTATGGACCCTTGCAATATTTTGTATATGAATTCACAAAGATTATTGCACAGGTCATTGCTCCTGAAAATACTGCTACCTCCTGGCTCATGGTAGATGTGAGCTTATGTGAGTTTTCTGGTTAGGAAAGCAGAAAAGGATTCCAGATGGTCTTAAAAATGATTTATAAGAAATAAAGTTTTGCAATGGATGAAGTAAAACTGAAGCCAAAACCTTTTTTTTTTTTTGGTTTTGGATTGAGTAAGGGACGGTTATAACCCCTGTCAAACTTTTTTGCCATCTGTGTACCATTGGGGAGATTTCCCTTCACTTCCTGTCTGATAGCCACAACAGGAAGTGAAAGGAAATCCCTCCAAAGTGAGAGGCATCCCTTACTGGGCAGGGTAGCAACTGAAAGAACATGGCCGGTCCAACTACCAGACAACCTTTTTTCCTTTAAAGGAGAACTATGAGGTGAGTGTTTTTCACTCACCTCATAGTTCTAGCCGACCTGTGACAATGAGACTGTCACAGGTCGGCTCAGTAGATCGGGAGGTGAGCGAGCGCATACGAGGTTCGCTCACCTCTCGATCCTGTCACGGCTCTCTGCCGTGACAGGGGGAGGGGCTGGATTCCCCTCTCCCCGCTCCGATCTGCCAGCGCTGACTGGCGGAACGGATGGGGGAGGGGGTGGGTACAGCTGGCTCTGCCTCTAGATAGGCAGAGCCAGCTGTCACTCACGCAGCTGGGAGGATCCCGTCATCTATGTCGGGATCCGCTCCGGCTGCGGCGTCTCAGTATATCGCGAGCTGTAGCTCGCAGTATACTGAGCATAGGGTAACGGGAGGACGCTAGTTTGTGTCCTCCCATTACCCTAAGGAGAACTATGGGGAAAAACACTGACCCCATAGTTCTCCTTTAAAGTTGCATGCCTCTTACAGTTAAAATAGATGGATGAAGTAGAACTGAAGCCAACACTTTTTTTTTGTAGTTTTGGATAGACTAAGGGAGGGTTGTATCCCCTGTCCGCTTATTTTTGCCATCTGTGCCACATTGGGGAGACTTCCCTTCACTTCCTGTCCAATTGTCACAATCGGAAGTGAGAGAAAATCCCTGCAAAGTGAGGGAAAACCCTGATGGTCAGCGGGAACCCCAGAACTAGTTTCCCCATTGGAAGATTTCCCATCTATTCCTGTTCTGGTGACAACCCAAAATGTGGATTTTCTTTCACTTTCACTAATAACAGTCACCAGGACTCATAGACACATTTATCCATCTACCAGGACACAAAGAGAGTGAATCTCCCTAATAGGGACACAGACAGCAATAAAAACCAGACAGATGTTCTAATCCCTCTCCACTCCATCCAAAACTAAAAAGAAAACTGGCTTCAGTTGCACTTTATATAACTATTTCATGTAGAAAAAAATAATATTTCATGCAATAGTGAATTGCAATAGCTGAATAGTGATTGGCCCTTAGTTAACAATTGGACAGTTCTAGGGAAAAAAATGTAACTCTTTAAAACAAAAATGAGAGGCAGCTGATAAGTCTATGAGGAGCATCTTTGTCTATAAAGACTAATTCAATATTGTAATTTTTTTTATAAATTTTTATTACAATAAGAATAAGAGAACTAAAATGCTGCAAATAAAGGCCATAAAAGAAAAGGGTCCCATATACTTTCTCTGTATAACGGCTTGGGAAGCCATCTGTCATGTATAGTAACCATCTGTTGTGCTGCCATTGACCTGCGTCTTCAAGAAGTAACATGAGTGCAGGTCTTCTTTTCAGTAATAATGACTGTTACTAGACCATTTAGTCTGTACTGTGTGTGCTGGGCATTAGGGTGACTGGTCCAAGATCGCTCCTGTGATGAACTACAATCTCAGTATAAATTAGTAAACTAAACATGAGATTGTAGTCCATCACAGGAGCGAGCTTGGAGCGGCGGATACTTTACAACACACACAAGGACCATGGGGAACACAAGTAGCCACCCTCCAGAAGGAAGGACAATGTCTGCTCCAATTCAGAGATAATTTGAGGATCTACAGCCGAGTGATACACAAATAAGATACATTTTTGTTAATAGTAAACGTGTTATTAAGCCCTCCGTGTTTTTTGCCTATCTACTGCTAGCAAGCAAAAAAAAAAACGATTTTAAAAGGGTTTAAACTTGTCTTCCCCGCGCAATCCTGTCCGAAAATCTGAAAAATCTCGGGCGGCCGCAAAGGATCTTGGGGCAGGCGCATGCGCAATTCAGATTTTCGGCCTGGAGACGGGGAGAGACACAAGGTAAGTCTATAGACGGCGTGCACCCTCATGCAGACAGCGTGGTACAGGAAGTGCCAGCAAGCACAGAGGAGTCAGCGCTGGATCGGAGACCCGCCAAAGCGCTGGAGAGAAGGCTGGAAAGGACAGGAAAGAAGAAGAAGCTCGGATTAAGGAGAACCCAGCCGCACACATCGTTTTACCGCTGCAACATTAGAACAGATTTTAGGTGGTCAGGACAATGACTTGCCCTCCGTACACTCTCTGATTATGGACTGATATAGATATAACAGAAGTTGTCTCAATTTGTAAATTTCTGACTTTTTAGGTACCTCAGAATACAGACACTCAGATCAAATAGCAGAAATCGTTTGTTTTCAAAACATTAAAATCCTCCCCATCTGGGACATACATAATACAATTGTACATATAACAGATAAAAGTTGAAAAAAGTAGCCCCCACTTTCTCATTTCACATGAGAGAAATGACAAAGTGGGCGCTACATTTTTAAACTTTTTTGTGTCTGTATTCTGAGGTACCTAAAAGTCCATAATTTGGGTGTTGGTACCATGTCGGAGGTATACCGCCAGGGCCGCATTTACTCTCCCTGCCGCCCCAAGGCCAGGTTCTGCAATGCGCCCCCCCATCAATGGAGAATGGCAACCACATGGCAGGGGCGGCAGGGTTAGTTTTATTTTTTTTATTGTTTCTTAATTTTTTTAAAACTTTTTTTTACATTTTTTTCTTTTACTTTTCTATTTTTTTATAATTTTTTATCTTATTATTCTTTTTTTTTATAATTATTTTCTTATTTTGTAATCATTTTTCGTATTATTTTTTTACTTTTTAATCACCTTTTTATTGTATTTAATTATTTCTTTATTTTTAAAAAATTCACTTAAGATTATTGCTATCACACAGGAGCTAGCTAACAAGCCCCTGTGTGATAGCCTTTGGAGGTGACAGGTTCTCTTTATTGACTCTGTCACCTCCAATACAGGAGTTCCAGCACAGCACTGTGCTGGAACTCCTGTGACCACTGGGATGGGAAGAGAACAGCTCTCCCCTCTCACTGTGTACACGGAGCGGCAGGGTTAGTCGCGGTATACTGAGCTTAGGGTAACCGGAGGACGCTAGTTTGTGTCCTCCCGTTACCCTGAGGAGAACTATGGGGAAAAACACTGACCCCATAGTTCTCCCTTAATTGTATTTTTCAGGGATGCGCTGATACCGTCAAGTGGGGGCTCTGATGTCAAGGGGGGTGCTTATGGGAAGGGAGGGCTCTGATGTGAAGTGGGGGCTCTGATGTCAAGGGGGGTGCTCATGGGAAGGGCGGGCTCTGATGTCAATGGGGCTCTGATGTGAAGGGGGCTCTGATGTGAAGGGAGGACTCCACCTAAAGTGAAGGGGGTTCTGATGTTTTTTTATTCCTGGGGTCCCCCCTGACAAACCATACCGGACCTCTGTCTAGAATAGTGTATAATACATTTTGGGGGTACACGTCGTTTGTACATTTTACACGGGGTGCCCCCGGGTTTCGCACACTTGTAGAAGGAGCGGGGACTGTATGGGTTGTAGAGTAGCCGGTCCTCGGTGAGTGCGGAGGACAGAGTCGGTCTCCGGGGAGTGCGGAGGACAGAGTCGGTCTCAGGGGAGTGCGGAGGACAGAGTCGGTCTCCGGTGAGTGCGGAGGACGGAGCCGGTCCCCGGTGAGTGTGGAGGACGAAGCTGGACTCTCTGTGTGAAGTTCCCGGTCGGGGATTAGGTGTCCATTCATCTGATACAAAGGCAGAGGGAGGGGGGAGGCGGTCCGCGGTGCGGGGGGTGGCCGCATCCAGGAGAAGGTCAGAAGGCGGAGAGAAGCTGGAAGAACGCGGCCACATCTACAGCACAGCCCGCTATGGGGGCACACTGAGCCCGGCCATGGACAAGAAGAGTGCGGACGATGACTGCGAGGACTCCGGGGCAGAGACCGGCGGGTAGGTGAACTTCATCCGCTAAAGGAGATCCCGGCACGGAGCTCATCATCCCTATACGGGGTTCAGTGTCAGGACAGGTTCTCTTACACCCGGAGATGACCCCTGTGTGCTACAAGTCTGACTTCTGGAAGATGCTGCACTGACCACCCGTCCCATCATTTCTAGGGACAGTCCCGGGGTTTGCAGACTTGTCCTGTCACTGTTTGTCCCTGGAATAGTCTCTGTGATCCTCCATCCCCTTATTTCCAGGGACAGTCAGTCACTGGATTTGCAGGCTTGTTTAGACACGATTTGTCTAAACAAGTCTCCAGGGACAAACAGTGTCAGGACAAGTCTGCAAACCCGGGGACTGTCCCTGGAAATAAGGGGATGGAGGATCATAGGGACTATTCCAGGAATAAACAGTGCCAGGACAAGTCTGCAAACCCGGGGACTGTCCCTGGAAATAAGGGGATGGAGGATCATAGGGACTATTCCAGGAATAAACAGTGCCAGGACAAGTCTGCAAACCCGGGGACTGTCCCTGGAAATAAGGGGATGGAGGATCATAGGGACTATTCCAGGAATAAACAGTGTCAGGACATGTCTGCAAATCCTGGGACTGTCCCTGGAAATAAGGTGGATGATCACTGTGGTGAGGAGGGGTGGACAGCAAGGAGCGCGCAGGGGATGTCATGGGCGGACAGCACAACACTAGCAGCCATACAACAAATGAATGAATTGTCCTGCAGCATTTTTATTTATTAGAAATGCTAAATAACTGTATTACAGTAAACTCTCAGTTATCCAGTATTCAACTGATCAGAACTCTCATCTAACCAGAAAACAACCCCCTGTGTACTCTCTGATCTGCGGCATGTATCATCCTGGAAACGATCATGTGTCTATTTGTCTTCATTTGCTTTTGATTTCTGCAATTCAATATTAATAGGAAGTCAATACAGAGTTTATGTTATGTTATGGTATAGTATAGTATGGGGGGTATGGTATGGGGTGTAGTATGGGGTATGGTATGGTGTGTAGTATGGGGTATAGTGTAGGGTGTAGTATGGGGTGTATTATGGGGTATGGGATGGGATGTAGTATGGGGTAAAGTATAGGGTGTAGTATGGGGTATGGTATGGGATGTAGTATAGGATATGGCATTAGTTAGACTTATTTTTAATAGTAACTCTCAAGCAACCAGAAACAACATTTATCCAGAATCTACCAATCCATGTGGATGCCGGATAACGGGGAGTTTATTGTATCTAGAAATTGGAGCATTTTTCTCCGTGTGTCGATCTTTGTTAATCCTCCGGATTGTGTCATAGCAATCAGCTGGTATGTCCTGGAAGTGAGGTTTTCTATGTCGGTGTCTGTCTTGGCCGTACCACTGATCATGTACTTGTTGTGTACACATTAGTAGTAGTTACATTGTATACTCCAATGTATGATCTGGGTGACAACCAGTCCTAATACTAACACATCTACAGCGTCACTTCCATGGGCCAATATGAGGTTCTGCCGCTGTGTAAAGGGGACGTTGTCACTCAGAGCTGACACTCTAATACAGCTTCTCTCAACCTGAGAAACCAAAGTGATTTCAAAGAGGAAGCCTTGGAATGGCTCCACATCCCGGGGAACCTCTGTGTCCATGGCACACAATACATCACTACACAGAGATACCAGAAGACAGAAGAAGAAGAATAATAAGGATTAATAAAGAATTATTTGAAATGAAACCAAAAAATAATGTCAGGAATAGAAACAAAAAATGTAAATTGTACCGCTCCCCTTACATTGGTGGTCAGTGGACGAGGACCCCCTAATACTTGTAGTCAGTGTAGCGCCCTCATACATTGGTGGTCAGTGTAGTGCCCTCATACATTGGTGGTCAGTGTAGCGCCCTCATACATTGATGGTCAGTATAGTGCCTTCATACATTGGTGGTCAGTATAGTGCCCTCATACATTGGTGGTCAGTGTAGCGCACTCATACATTGGTGGTCAGTGTAGCGCCCTCATACATTGGTGGTCAGTGTAGCGCCCTCATACATTGGTGGTCAGTTTAGCACCTTCATACATTGGTGGTCAGTATAGCGCCCTCATACATTGGTGTTCAGTATAGTGCCCTCATACATTGGTGGTCAGTGTAGCACCTTCATACATTGGTGGTCAGTATAGCGCCCTCATACATTGGTGTTCAGTATAGTGCCCTGATACATTGGTGGTCAGTATAGTGCCCTCATACATTGGTGGTCAGTGTAGTGACACATTGGTGGTCAGTGGTTACTTCTTATAGAGATAGATATTGCTCATTTCCCCAGCCACCTCTGGAGGAGCCATGGTTGAGAAAGGCCACTCTGATAGGTGTTCACATTTATTTGGTTAGTATGACATTTATCGGCTATGTTATTCACCGAATGGATTCCTTGTATACAATAATTGTGACTTTTTAATGGGCATTATATTCTTTTCTTTAAAGGAGAACTATGGGGTCAGTGTTTTTCCCCATAGTTCTCCTTAGGGTAACGGCCGGGAGGACACAAACTAGCGTCCTCCCGTTACCCTAAGCTCAGTATACCGCGAGCTACAGCTCGCGGTATACTGAGACGCCGGAGCGGATCCCTGCCTATCTAGAGGCAGAGCCAGCCGTACCCGCCCCCTCCACCGTCCGTTCCGCCAGTCAGCGCTGGCAGATCGGAGCGGGGAGGGGGGAATCCAGCCCCTCCCCCTGTCACGGCAGAGAGCCGTGACAGGATCGAGAGGCGAGCGAACCTGGTATGTGTTCGCTCACCTCCCGATCTACTGAGCCGACCTGTGACAGTCTCATTGTCACAGGTCAGCTAGAACTATGAGGTGAGTGGAAATCACTCATCTCATAGTTCTCCTTTAAATAATGTATATCAGCAAAATGAGACATCCCAGAATATCAGTGCAATTCATTCAGAATAGTTATCTTTCTGTCATTTTGTATTTGTTTGTCTGAATGAAAATAATCTCGGAGCCTGTCAGTGGAAGTTTGATGCCCTTTACAGATTGCATGGTGAGAGTGGAGCGCGGAGGCTTTCCAGTCTTCCTCTCTCTGGAATGTGAATAGGAAGGTCTGTCACGCACAGTGAATGTCCGCAACGCTGTATTTTGGATGTCTGTCTATCTATCTCTCTATATAGTAGGGTCTTTCTCGCCCTCTAACTCTCTCCCCCCGTCTGTCTGTCTGCCTGCCTGTCTGTCTAGCTATGTATAGCTATAGGGTATCTCTCTCTTGCCTCTCTCTCTACCCCGTCTGTCTGTCTAGCTATATATATCTATAGGGTATCTCTCTCTCTCTCTCTCTCTCTCTCGCCTCTCTCTCGCCTCTCTCGCCCCTCTCCCACGTCAGCCGAAAATCTGGGTCTGAACGTGCGAATTGTGGCCGTCAGCGACTAGTCAATGTTAGGGCAGAACAGAGAGTGGGAAGACTGGTACAAGACAACAGAAGGGCAACAGTGCAGTTTCAGTTTCCCCGCATAACCTTTCAACATCTCTTGGTGTCACGAGCCGGCCCACCAAAGTCATCTCGTGGCCCAACGAAGTACTGATGGGGAGGTCATAATAATCTGGCCACTCAGTGTATATAGTATCTATATCTGTTGGTTATCTACCCTGTTTCCCCGAAAATAAGACCCACCCTGAAAATAAGACCTAGTACTATTTTTGGGAATAGCTAAAATATAAGACCTACCCCGAAAATAAGACCTAGTTGTGACCATTCCCAGGGCCGGTGGTGGCATAAAGGGGGAACCTGAAGAGCCGCGGCAGAGGCAGGAGAGAATCAGCGGCGCCAACGAAGAAGTGAGGCGGCACCAGAGGGAGCAGAGCCGCATAAGCCGATGCTTCCTCTATAGCGCCGGCTCTCGTCACAGGCGGAGTGATACCGCCTGTGAGGAATCGATAGTGAAAGTGCGCTTCGCTCATCCTGGCCAGCAATTGGTTAGCAAATTGCTCTTGGAAAGGTACGGCACCCCTGATTGCCCTGATCACTATATTTTTGTACATGAATAAGTGTGGATTTTTGTACATTAAAAAAATTAATTAAATAAATAAGACCTACCCCGAAAATAAGACCTAGTGTGTTTTTTTGAGCCAATAAAAATATAAGACAGTGTTTTATTTTCGGGGAAACATGTTATATCTGCAGCAGTATCTATATCTATAGGGCTGTAATGTGTATATACACACAGTATCTATATCTATAGGGCTGTAATGTGCAGGTGTTGGCAGAGCAGTGAAGAATTGCAGTGCTAGATGCAGATGCCAGAGGCTGCTGGATTGAGGTAAATTGCCTCTGTGAAGGGGTAGGCTGGATCAAGCTGATCATTTGGTGCTTTGACAAATTTGAGCAGTGTGTGGCACCTTTGGGAAATGAAAGGAAATGTTGGAACAGTGAGGGTAGCCAGTCAGCTGCTGTCACTGTTCTGTATCCTGACAGTGGCACACCCAGCAATGTCAGAATACAATATCCCAGCAGAGGGGATTCCCCATCCAAGCTGTTTAGTGTGGATAGGTTTTTCTTATTCAGCTCACGGAGCTCAACAAGAACAATGGCTGGTTTTTGGTCAGAGGAAAGGGGTAAATAGGATAAGTGCGCTTTATTTTGAAGCCAATCTCTGGGCGGGGGTTGGAGTAAAGCAGGTTGACTTACCTGATCCCCGCTAACTGGCGGTCAGTGCTCCCCTCTTTTCTTACTCTGCTCCGGTTGGTGGAATGTCCCTCAGCGTCCTCACATACAATGCAGGTCTGTGGAACCTGCATTAGACATGATGATGTCGGCGGTCCTTAGCGCACCAGAGGAAAGGCGAGAAAAGGCCGCAGGGACCGGTCTAGCAGCCCTGAGGAAGGAAGCCGGTGGGAGCGGGTATTAGGTAAGTAACTCAGCTGTAATGGAGATAAAAAATGGACCTTAATGGGCCCATGTTAGGTCTATGGGCAGTTGGATGTAAACAGATATGCATCCATTTTCATCCCTTTACATCCGAT